AATGACAAGGCTTGGAGGTCATGATTAGATTAAGTTCAATTCCCCATCTCAGTATCAGAGCAGATAAGTCTTACTCATTATTGGTTTCTAGGAGATGTAGAAATTCTCTCAAGTTTCATACTAAATAATCTTATTACTGGCAAAACAGTATCTTTGGGATTTTAGTAGGTACAATACACAGTAATCCTTTCTTTTCTTGAGTAAACTCACAGATGGCAAATATTACTCTTTTTACAATTATTTCTGATACAGAAGAGGGTTTCAGTGTGTGACAACAGTGGGATTCATTAACATTAATTCTAAAATTAAACAGACCTTCAAGCTATAGGAAGAATAAAGTCTCTCATACTATCATTCTTGGAAAGCTAAACTATATCCATGTATCTTTTAGCAGAATACACACCTGCAGGCAACCTAGAAGGAAGAGGAAGGGACCCAGCCTTGTGCAGCCAGCCCTTTCAAATGCATTTGTCAGATCAGCGACTCCTCCTCACATGGAGAGGAATTAGCAAACTTGACATAGGCCCTAAGAGTCACAAATATTGCTTTCTATTTGTAACTGTCTTCGGATTTCAGAAAAGTGATTAGGGTGGAGAGAGAAGTACTTCCACAGCCTTGCAACACCTGTAGTTGGTCAGAACTAAAACATATAGATTCTGTACATCTCAGGAGATGGAAAAATCTGGTAGTTTAACTGATGACTCAGAAGTATTCTTTTTGAGTTTTTCATCTAAGAAGTTGAAGACGTTTTAAAGATCTTTTTATCACAATTATTACATATTAAATATCAGAAATAAACAAATTCTTCCAATGTCCCAATATTAGATGATTGTAGAAATATACTTTAAGTTTTGGAAGGCCACTTATCTTAAAATATGTATCACTTTAAAAACACTGATAATATGCCTTTTTATTTAATAATGTAGATATAAATATAAAATTTATTTCATAAACCACTGTAATTGTGAGGTTTAAATTATTATGTACCCTGTCGTTTAGTTTTCAAGGTAGTAAAAATGGTAAAAATAAAGCACTTATCAAGCCAGTATCAGGAAGAGGGAATCTGAGAAATACATATTATAATTCTTGAACCCATTTACATCAATTACTACATGGATAACATGCATAAGTTGAGTTCTCAATATACACTTCATTTTTTTTAAAGAAAAATCACACACGATATAGGGATTAAGATTTTATGCTCCCAGAATCTCTCCGTACTTTGCATACTACTTACAATGATAAGCAATATCTACTTAAAAACAAAAACAGAAGCAAGACAAGAATAAGCACATCATATTTTCTTCACTTTTCAAGCCAATCATGAAATGGAACATCAGACATATGTGTTCCCTTCTAAAAATATACTGTTTTCCACCAGCATTTACTAATGTGGAAAAGTCAATTAAAATCTCACAGAAGTTCTAGAATTTGAAAGTTTTTGCCACTTAAAATATGTAAATTTTAATGTCTGATGTATAACAATCACTTTGATGCAGTCACCTAAAATGATTTGTTGTATACCTATATTTGTGTCAAGGTTAATAAAATACTATATTAAATTTTTGGATTCATTTTTTACCAAATTTTACCCTATCTTGATGGTAAAGGAATTAAATTTGAACACTGTTCTTATTTCCTATCAATTCCTATAAAAAAGTGGATTATGTATTACTCTCCAATGAGCAAATGACAATTTTCTTGTCATTAATTTTCATTAACCAATTAATTTTGCTGGCCTAAAATTTTTAAAAAAATAAATTCTTTTTATTAAGACAAACCAATCTGTATGTTAAAACTCAATATATGCTAATAAAATTTGCTTTTATATCTATTTGCATATTTCATGTCTAAAGTACACTTTGGGGTAAAGTATATGAATTGAGGACAGAGAAAATAGACTGACACACATTTTGATATTGTTGCATGGGAAAATACAAGTTAAAATCCTTGAATAACATGTTAGAAAATGTATGAATATACATGTAAATCACATTACCTATACTCAAGTATGCCATGTATTAAACAAATCTGATTATCTATACAGTTTGAAGCATGCATTTAAAGGATTTTACCAAATATATATATATATGTTATGTACATATATATACACACACATATATATGCACACAGATAACATGCATAAGTTGAGTTCTTACACAGCTTATATATAATGTGTATATACACTATATATGTATATAACATATATGTAAACTCATATTTGTTAGAAAGTATTTGGATCAATTGAAAACACATTTCCCAAATGTGACAGTCAGTAAAATAGTCAATAGTTATCCAAAATAGGTACAAATTAGCCTTTGTCAAGAAATTGAATGTAAGTGAAATTTTGATAAAATTTAAGAAGTTAATTTACTTAATGCTAGTCCAAATTCTTCATCATTTCAGATTCCTAGGTCAAGGTCTTTTTCATATGGTCAAATAAATACAATTCATTGAGAATAAAAGATTCTTTTTAAACTCTGTGTGCGTCCTGTGTGTATACATTTTCAAGACGAGGAGTTCTATGACTCCATCAGCTTAGTAGTGACCAATTTTCACTATATACAAAGAAATTATATGTTATTGGCTATCCTAAATGCAAACTTTCTTACAGCTTATTTTACTCTACTTCTATAAACTATAGTTTTAATAAATTTTGTATACTTTTCAACAATAGAGAAAATGAAATAAGCTATGAGTGCCTGCATATCTAAAATAGATTTATTACAAAATAAAAAAATACCATTTAAAAATGTCCACTGTATTAAAAAGTTATTTGGAAACAGTTTGAGCATAGTCATCAAATTTTAAATATATATCAAATAAAAATGTTACTTTCAGATTCCCATGCTACTTTTTGTCTTGTGATGACCTCTCCTGGTTGAATTGTTCATTATCTTAGATCCATGTAGTTACTACTTTTTTCTTTGAATGGTTCTAGCATTAAAAATACAATTGCCATACTCTTCTTCATATTTATACATATTGTAAGCAAAAATTTTCATTAAGAGTAAAAATACATTGAAATATAAAGTATTCAATATGTAAGGGCCTTCTAATTACTAAAGTCATTTTTTTATTATTTCATTCATTTCCAGGACATATGGCAACTTTAGTTTTGTTACACAGTAGGAAGGCAAATAAAATAAAACGCCATCTCAATTAATGCATGACACACGCTTAATCAATGAAGAGTAAGAAAACACTTGCTTAATAATCATATCCAACTATGAACTATCTTAAAAGTAATAGTTTCTATATTCTCTATCACAAATTTCTAACTAAATAGTAAAAACAAAAGTATTTCTAAAATAATAACTTTTCCAGTCCTAAAATATATTAACCCAGTGACTTCATGTGTGCCATTCTTGACACACGGCAAACATTTCAGATTGACTCGCATAAATAAAGAATAGAGAAACATGAAACTCAGAACCCAGAAAGAAATCCCTGGTGTTAGGGTCTTCAATAAAATAAATTCAAAAAAATATATTTAACTTTTAATGAGTTTATTTTCTAAGAAAAGTGGCAGCAAGTTCAATGTCACCAAACTTTGAAATGGCAACTGAAATTTCAACAGAACAGTTAACCACGGATATAGTTACCTCTCTGTGTAGAATTTAATACTAAGCAGTATAATTCTAAAAATGACAAAAGATGATGACAATATGTAACTTTTTTCAAGCTTAATCTAAGTGACCAAAAAATTAAATTTTGTTCAAGTTCATACAAGCTTAGATCGCCATATAGTATATGCCCACCATTGCAAGAAAAGAATAACCAATACTTGGAAAAAGGTGTCAAAATACTAGAACTAGTTCATCGTATGATACCATATGTACTAGATTCCTTGCCGCACCATGTAAGGTCCCTTCTCAATGCTATTCCTATTAATATGTATGCATTGAGGTATGAACATTAGTATAAACTTGTAGGCAAAGATGCAGAAACATATCCCAAATGCTTCACATAGGATGCATGCTGGAAAATACTGAACTTTCTTTCCCTAAGTGGAAAACATGCCTTTTGAAGGTCTAAAAATTTCCATGGCAACTGTTTACCAACTTACTCATTCTCAGAAACAAGTATATGCTTATGAACACCATGCTAAGATTCCTATAGGCAATGGTTCCAGGGCTTAACTCTTTCCAGCCAAAGGGGAAATCAGGCAGTTCCTCTCTATACATACAGTGTTCACTTCAAAAGCAATGCAGAAAAATGGGCTGATGTCTTCCATTTATTTTTAAACCTCATGAAAACATAGCAGTCTTTAAAAAAAACCAAGCAGTTAAATCACACAGAAACATACATGTGGAACAGCATCATCTTCCTGAAAGCTGTTAAGAAATCTGCTCATTACTCCATTTTGCACTGACTGTCCCAAATCCTAGATTGCATAGGTCACATCCGTTACATCCAACCACCACAGACCAACGCAGCCGAAGTTACAATAATGGATTCACGGTCTTCAATTTTAATAAGCAAGTACTAAACGAGTCTCAACTTTTCAAGGAGACAGAGGAGGTTAAAGAGAATCTAGAGTTGTTCAGACTGTTTAAAATATGGTCCCCTTCCATCTCTAAACCCGTTTCAATTAAGATAAAATCATAAATAACAAGAAGAAACTTATTTGTCCATGGTCTTCACTTCTCATTCACTGACGCCCCTAAGCAAATGCACTGAACTCTCTGCACAAACAACTCCCAAGAAGCCACCGGCCACACGAATCACTCTAACCGAGCAGTTGCCATCTAATCTCCAAGACCAGGAACAACTTTCCAGAAACGCCACCGACGACAGCACCCTCTCCCCTAAATCCGGAGCGCGCTGGACTCGGAGTTTCTGTGCTGCAGTGGCTGCAAGTGCGTGCCAGCGGAGACGCACACAAACCAGGGGGCGAGAACTGCGAACGCACCTCCGAGTTGGTACCCGGGTGCCCAACATCAATGCGGCACTGAAACTGCTCCAGTGCGGAGGAGCGGGAGGAGAGCGCTACTTACGGGACGCGGAGGGAGCTGTCCAGGCTCTGCAGAGGAAGCTGCTGACCATCCAGAACCAGAGCGCTGCCCCGCAGCCGGCCGGCGCGGCCACCACCATCCTGCGCCTCCCGGGCGGCGGTACTCCCAAGGCTGGCTGCGTAGATGCAGTGCGTCTCTCCGCGGGGCTCTCAAGGGGAGATGGGCTGTCCTCGAAGACCAGGGAGCGCCGAGCCGCCCCCTCCGTTTCCTCGCCTGCCCGCAGCCCCTCCAGGCTCCAGCTCTTCTGGGCTTGGAGCAGCAGGGGCGGCTCAGCCTTCCTTCTCCCTGCGTGCGGGTCTTGCCTCCTGCTCTGCGAGCCAGTGAAATGCCGAGAGGAAGAAATTCAAACCGAGAAGGAAAGGGAGGGGGAAGAGAGAGGAGGGGACTGACACCGACCCCGCCCTCTCCTCGGGAAAAAAAAAAAAATCACCAAAGGAAGTGGATGGGGGTGGTGGATCCGAGAGCGGAGGCTGCAGAAGACAGACGGCGGTGCTGCTGTTGCCACTGCGGGCGAGCGCTCCCTTCGCCACTGGGCAGCGTGACTCGGAGGGGTTTCCAATCGGCTGTCAGCTCACATGGAGAGACTGAGTGTGTGCGGAGCGCGCAGCGCAGCCGGCGGCGCACGCACGGCCTCAGCGCTGCGCGGCACGGGGAAGCGTCTCTCGCAGGTGCAGCGCGAGCAGCAGCGGCAGCCGCCTCCGCCGCCGGGGAGCCGGAGCCGCGGCCGCCGCCAGCAGCGCCTGCAAACCCGGGCGAACGAGGCGGAGGCAAGCCCTGCCCTCTCTTCCTTCCTGGGCCCCCTCCCCGGCTCCTCCTCCGCCGCCGCCTTTTCCTCCTCTACCGCCACCTCCTTCTCCTTACCGTACCCCTCTGGCTGTCAGAAACCGTCTGCCTGCCCTGCCCTCGCCTGGTTTGGAAGCAAAAGAGAGGAGGAAGCTATGGGCCCGGGTTCAGCAGCTGGGGCGGGGGCGCAGTAGGGAGGCGCGCGCCTCTCCCCTGGCGGGAGGTGGTGCTGTCCGCGGTGCTGAAGTTGGGGGTTTGCGGTGTAATCTTGGAACCCTGCTCCAACCCTGGCCGCCCTGGACCCGGCTGCAGGAAGGAGAACCCCCGCTCTCGGGTGCCTGCTCTTTTCCTTCTTTCCTCCCCTTCGGATAGAGATGGTACAGGCTCCCGGAGCTCCGGCCTCCCGGGAACCACAATCAGGCGTCCGACAGGCAGGTCTTCCGAGTGGTCCTAACACCAAGTGACGGAGCTAAACATCCCGACTGACAGAAGCAGCGAGGGAGGACTGCAGACGCCACGAATGCAGATGTTTTCCATGTGTATTTAATTCATACCCATACATAGGCAACCGTACACCGAACACGCTGCTGCCAGGAAAACTACATTCAGGCAAACACGCACACAAACAGATATAAACACAAGACGAAATAAATAAGCAGGCATATGGATAACTACATCAAGGTATCTGAGACATCACAAGTACTGAGAATTAAGAATGTGTGGAGACCTAGATTTTATTTGCACACTTGACAATTTCTATAATAAATCTCAAGCCCCTTTCCCCAGCACATATCTCCCCACACTCCACCCTCCATAGGGTTTCCTGCCATCCAGTCTACATAAAGTACTTGGATTCTTATCTCTCTGCACAGCCAATCCTTTCATTGGCTGTACTGACACAATTAAAAATTATTGGTCATCTAAATAGCTAATGATGTTTAGGGAGGGCAAAGTAGGAGTAACCATGTCTTTCAATGTAATGCAATGAATAAGCATTTGCCTTTGAGGATGAATAAATTTTTTATGGAGACTTGCCTACTCCTGAAATAGACTCTGAGTTTTTAATGTGGTGGTTAGGTCTCGGAAACGTCTACTGTAAACAGTACTGTGCGTTCACTGCATAATTAGTATGGTGTTAATGGGCCTGATTCAGCATTCTTTATCTGAGCTTTGTTTCTTATTGATTTAAAAGGATGCACTGTCCTAGTAAGAACCGCAGATTGGGTAAGATCTGGAAAATGAAGAAACACGCAGATGACCAACAGGGGAAAAACTGCATCCTCATGCTATAAAACATTTCTCCTATAAAATAACACGGCAAATGCCTTCTTATGGATTATAAAATGCCCTTTTTCTATTTGTATTACCACAGACTGTCAAAAGTCGATGAACACTTGCCAAAACACACTGATACACGACTTCCATCAACCATTTCTGAGCTCTCAAAGAAACCAATCGTGGGAAAAAGTAGAGTTGGAAAGCACCAGTTTTAAGAGTAGCTGATTGTTTAACTATGTCTACCTATTTAACCATTGAATTAAATGCCAATAGAGTGGCGTTAAAGTATGCTTAATGGGAGGAAAAAAGAAGACAACAGCAAATTTAAGTATCATCATTGCAGTGTCTCAATGGATGTTATTCAGCAGGTAAATTAAGAAGATCTGAAACAATTCTCTTTCTTACGGTGTTGAATAAAAAAGAGCTGAAATATGTATCTCTTTAATTGTTTTGTAGAAGAAAGTGACATACCTGGGGATATAATTTTCTCCAAAAATAGATTCCAATCAGCTTTTTAGTCATTTATGTTAATGAGTAAAACAGCTAAATAAACAAAGTTTTCTCAATAGCACGAGTGTAACTATCCTGTATCACCGGCATATTATAGAGTATGGTATTATTTCGTCATAGCATGAGCTAAACAACTGCCTTTATCTGTTTCCAGTGCACCATGATGCATTTAATGCAGGGTTGAAAGTTATTGTTTTATTTGCAGTGTGTCTACCTTTGCTTCCAATTTGTGTTAATTCAGAATGAACATCTGGAGTTGTATTTAAAGAGATAGAACTTTAATGATTTCAAGATCAAAGATTTCTTAGAATACAATGAAAGTTTCCTTCTACCCACCTGTATTATTGTCAGCTTTTCATTACTACTTCAAAATACTTAAGGAAAGTTACTGATGAAGGATGGGTATTTATCTAACCTCATGATTTGGGAAGTTGACAGTCCAAGATCCAGTGGCCCAGTTGGTTTGGCATTTGGTGATGATATTCATACCAATGGAATTCTGAAGCAGAGCAAATCATCACATTGCACATGTCTAACTATGTATCTGCTTATAAAGTAACCATGAATCAATCATGTGAGTTCTGTCCTGTGGCATTTTCCACTCTAATCACCTCCCCAAGGCTTCACTTCTAAACAGAATTGGATTAAGTCTCCACTCTTGTTATCATTAACATGAGACTTTGGTGACCTAATCTTTGACATATGGGCCTTTGGGTGACAACCAAACTAATACCCAAACAATAGCACCAATTAACTATATTCACCATTAGAAATTACAGTTAGAAAGCTTATGTTTTCCTTTAGTTGTAACTGTGACTATTATCGAGAATATAGGAACCTTGAATTCCATTCGGCTTAGTAAAAATACAAGGTCCAATAAAACTGATAAGCCAGTCAATGGATTCACAATATTTGCACCAGAAGTGCATTAGATAAAATAAGCATTCTTGATTCAGGAAGTGAATTAATTATTTTTATAGAATTTACTTATTTATCTGAAAAGCAGAATTACAGAGTGTGTATGAGAAAGAGACAGAGAGAAAAAACTTCTGTCCACTACACAAATGACCCAATGGCCAGGGCTGGGCCAGAACAAAGCCAGAAGCCTGGAACTCCATCCAGGTCTCCCACATGGGTACAGGGACCCAAGGACTGCTGCTTTGCCAGGCATGTTATCAGGGAACTGCATGGGAAATGGAACAGCCAGGACTCGAATTAGCACCCAAATTGGAAGCCGGCATTTCAGGCGGTGGCTTAACCTGCAGCCCACAATGTCAGCCCTAGTGAATTTTTTATTAATATCTGAATTGAATTAATATTGGTAAATGATTGAAGATAACATCAGCTAAAAATACTTGTCTTTAGTTGGATATAAGGTCAGTTAAACTTGAGAGTAGTAAAGTGTACCAAAGGTACTTAAAGATAAAACTATGATGGGAAAAGATGGGTAAGTTTCATTATTTTGGAAGTAGAGCAATAGAAACTGAGAGTAGATATCCCGTTTTTGCTATCACTCACATCATTGTTTCTTCTTTAAAAACCATTGATACTATGGCTCTTAATGTTAATGTCCCTTAAATAAGGATGATTAACTAGCAAAATGTGAATCATTTATTTATACCCCCAATGTTTATTGATATCTACAACTTTTTGGTTGGCATTGTGCTAGATACTAATATTATGCTTATGATTAAAACAGGTAGTAATTTTGCTATAGTAATAGGTGTCCAATGGTTGAATAAGGAGAACAAAATAAGTCAATATCAGCTGTGTACTATCATCTATGCAAGCAAATGTTACCTGGGTTAGTTTATAGTGTCTTTTTATATTCCTAATGATAAATAACTCAAAAATATCTTTATCAAAATAATGTCATTCCAAAAATCTGCCAATAATGCCACATGATAAATCCTCCTAAATGTGGAACTTAAATGACAAAAAAGAGTCAAAATAACTTGGCCTTAATGGCACTTTGATATGACTAACTCTATTTAGTGAAGCAATGAAAATAATCAAGATCTTTCAGTGGTAGATGGAAAAGCACCGGTATATCTCTAGTTTCTTGGAGCAGAATTTTTTTGCTGAAAACAAGGATGCACTACTATGCCTAGAAATCAATGAATTGTGTACAGTTAGAATAAAATATTTGCTAGTTGGATTCCAGACTTAAAATACTTCAGTACATGTTTCTCTGACTGGATATCATCTTTCTGGGATGCATTATTTACCGAAGTCAAGTCCCATACAGCAGCCTCTAGTGTATTAAATCCATGTTGAGTCTGGGGCTTGGCATTGATAATTGTTCCCAAGCACACTGAGATATTTCCATCATAATTAAAGAGTAATTTTTAGGAAGCCTCATTGAGGAAAAAGTATAAACTTAAAGTGACTTTCGAAATCTCACTTTATTTTAAAGATCTAGAGGAATACCAGAGCTACTGTTATTTGGACTCAACTCCTTGAAGATGCTTGGTTAGAAGCAACTCAGATTGTTTAACATTGTTGGGGAGGATAAAGTAAAAAATGTGGGCTTAATGCATTTGTAAAGCATCTTTGCATTTAATTTATATTCAGATTTGGGATACTGGGAGGGGAAGTGCTAAACCAATTCATAACATTTAGAGCATGTAGCCTGACTTAATCTTTAGTGTATTCTTCACTTTTTGAACACTCAGTTTTCTTTTTATTATAATTACTCTTCCAGAGTTACAATTACAAACTACCCTTCAGGGGATGAGCATTTGGGATAGCGGTTAAAACACTGCTTAGAAAGCCTCATCCTATATTGGAGTGCTGGGTTAAAGTGTTGGCTCTGCTTCTGATTCCAGTTTCCTGCTAATGCACACACTGGGAGGCTGCAGGCGATGGCTCAACTAGTTGGGTCCCTGACAATCATGAGGGAGGGCATATTGAATTCTA